AGCACTTTATAAACGGGTACTACTGTTTGATTTAGTAGGCTATGAACCACATTTACTGTGTGAAAGCTTACGGTATCACGTGGTTACCCAGGTCAAAGTAGGTGAAACCTGGTTCTAGCCTATGGCCCATTAGTTGAAAGTCAAGTGCTAAAGCCAATGAATTATATCGTGGTCTGGGAAAAAGTGTCTGCATTCAACAAATACATTTTTCTGCTAGTTATCAAGAGGATGAATTCACTCATCGTGGTTCATCTAACTAACTCACTTCAAGACTGATTTCTCAGATTTGAAATGTAGTAAAACATGTTCTTAAAATTTTTAAAGTACATTCACCAACGGTGAAATGGCTTTCTGTACAAGTTTGGTCTTTAATATAAGTGAAAAACTTGGGCACTGTGGTAGAATGTAGTTCCATATTAGATTTGTTTATTTGATATAAAGCGCACAGTGATACAGTATTATTTACTTGATTACGTTTCGAGCATAAATTATTGCTCATAATCATATCAATGTAATCACACTTCTTTCGACATCTGATTTTATAGTCCTGTCACCTGATCTCTCTTTGTTTTTTTGTTTTTTGATTGGTAGTAAAGTTTTCCATATCTCTGGTATAGGTGTTGCGTCATTCCTATTACATGTGTTGGGTGTGGATTCGATGAACAAAGATTCAGTAATTAATCTCTCTCTCCACCTAGCTATATTAGACTTAAGTACAGTGGTTTTGTCCCATCCTATTGTGTGGTTGTGTGTTAATGAATGTAATGCAATGGCTGAGTGTTTTTCTAGGTTATTGATCTTATTGGGGTCTGTCGTTCTATGTTTAGCTAAATTCCTATGTTCTGTTAATCTAACTGACCCCGACCGGCTAGTTTGACCTATGTATTTGACTTCACAGTCATTACATGGAATTTGGTAGATTATATTATTTTGCTTAATTGGTTCTATCGGATCTTTTAGCCGACACAGCTTACCTCTAAGTGAGTTTGTTGGTTTAAATGCCACCCTAATTCCAACCTTGTTGAGAATCCTACGTATGGTTTCTGATGTTCCTTCCTTGTATGGTATCACAATAGAGGTGCTGATTTCCTTTCTACTTATGTTGTCACTATTATTTGTATTTGTATTAGTGTTATTATTTTGCTTCTTATGCGTCCGTGTGAATTTCTTAATAAAATGATGGGGATAATTATTAGTTATTAACGCTTCTTTTATGTGTTTCAATTCCTTATTTAAGTCCTTACAATGACTAGTGAGTTTCTCAGCTCTGTTATTTAGACATTTGACTAAACCCGCTTTAACTGACACTGGATGAGATGACTTGAAGTCTAGATACCTGTTAGAATGTGTTGGTTTTCTGTAGACGGTAGTATCTAAACCACCATCTATCCTTCGTTTTATTCTGCAATCCAACATAGGTAATTCTCCTTGTTCATTTTCTACTTCGTAGGTGAATTGGATTGCGTTAACTACTGAGTTTATGTGTGTCAAGAAACTGTCGATATGTTCCGATTTCAACACTGTAAATGTGTCATCTACATATCGCCACCATATCTTAGGTGTCGGATTATATGTTCGTAAAGCCATATCTTCCCAACTATCCATAAATATATCTGCTACTATAGGGGATATTGGTGATCCCATTGCTACTCCTTCTGTTTGTCTGTATATCTTTCCCTGAAACTTGAAGACTGTCGAGGTTAAGCATAACTGCACTCCTAACATGATTTCACCAACCGATGCCTTGGTTCTTTGAGTAAGTTGTGAGTCAGTATCTAGTTGATTTCTGACTGCCTCCAGTGCCATATTGATTGGTATTTTAGTATAAAGACTTGTTACGTCAAAACTAACCATTTTTTCATCCTCTTCTATGTGCAGGTCATTAAGTTTTTGTTTCAACTCGTAAGAATTTACTAGTCTAGAGTTGGAACGGTCTCTAACAGGACGTAATACTGATGCTAAATACTTTGATATCTCATATGTTGGTGCACCTCTATTGTGATACCATACAAGGAAGGAACATCAGAAACCATACGTAGGATTCTCAACAAGGTTGGAATTAGGGTGGCATTTAAACCAACAAACTCACTTACAGGTAAGCTGTGTCGGCTAAAAGATCCGATAGAACCAATTAAGCAAAATAATATAATCTACCAAATTCCATGTAATGACTGTGAAGTCAAATACATAGGTCAAACTAGCCGGTCGGGGTCAGTTAGATTAACAGAACATAGGAATTTAGCTAAACATAGAACGACAGACCCCAATAAGATCAATAACCTAGAAAAGCACTCAGCCATTGCATTACATTCATTAACACACAACCACACAATAGGATGGGACAAAACCACTGTACTTAAGTCTAATATAGCTAGGTGGAGAGAGAGATTAATTACTGAATCTTTGTTCATCGAATCCACACCCAACACATGTAATAGGAATGACGCAACACCTATACCAGAGATATGGAAAACTTTACTACCAATCAAAAAACAAAAAAACAAAGAGAGATCAGGTGACAGGACTATAAAATCAGATGTCGAAAGAAGTGTGATTACATTGATATGATTATGAGCAATAATTTATGCTGGAAACGTAATCAAGTAAATAATACTGTATCACTGTGCGCTTTATATCAAATAAACAAATCTAATATGGAAGTTTGGTCTTTGTTGGAGAATTGGATTTTAATTATTCAGATAATAGTGATTTCAGTAGGTTGGGTGTACAACCTGCCCTTCGAGCTGAGGATGTGGGACGACTCTGTATGTTCGATCATCGTTGTCTCCTTCGGATTGTTCGTATCTAGTGGCAACACCGTGCAAGTAGTTCTGAGGTACGACAGGGTATGTTTAAACATGATGGAGATCATCTTGAAACAGCAGCTCCGGTAGCTCAGGAATGTATTATGCACGTTGTCTCAATGGCTTCCATACCGTTCATTATTTGCTAACCCTAGGACTGGGTGGAAGAAACGGAGGGGTGGTCAGTATATAACGTGGTGCTGTAGGATGAAGGATAAAAGTGATCACGAAACTCACTGGCTAGAGACATTATCAGATATGGCTCAAAATCGAAACTAATGGTGGTCATGCTGTAGCTTCCTTCTATCTATTGCAAAGTAACGAATATTTTGTTTTGAATGTATCTTTCTGAACTCCCTTTCTAATCATTATATTCTTATTTTTTCTCTTTTTATCCACTTCTCTTCGCTTTATGTCTTCAAAATGGTCTATTATTTTGTGCGGCGCATTTCTTGGTGCGCTTTTTGTACCATGTCTGTGTTCTAATAATAATAACTAAGAGAACACAAAACTCCGTTAGAAAATTAAGAATCATCACCTGGTTTCGGAAAGTGATATACGCTAAATAAATCTGTTCAAACAGGCAGTAAATCCAACGTTAAATCCAACTGCTAAAATGTGAACAAAACAACACAATACTTTTCGAGATCAGTTTAGTATTTAATTTTAAAACCAGTCTAATTTGGAGGTTAGTAATGAAATATGTTCTGTAGTTCCATCCTGTTGGTAACGTTAGACTTCTATTTATGTTTCAATGGAATATTTAAAATAATAACAGCTTTCTTTTGCCCACCAAGGACTTGCATAGGATTTATGTTTAACTTGAACTCCAGTGAGTCAGTGTTGGCTGCATCATACCTCTCTCCATGACGAAAGCATGTAGATTTACTTTCCTCTTGTTCTACCAGAGTAAATTAGTTTTAATGAGCATAGCAGGATGCGTTTTGTCTTTTAGTGAGTTGGCTGCTGATTCGGTTACTTTCTAATTATTAAATTATGTCTACAACATTAGAGGGAGAGAGAGAGGTATAGGGTCCAACTCAATTCTGTTCTGCTTTGAGTCAACGGTGCAAAATAAACTAGGTAAAATTTCAACACGATTCAGTAACTAATGACCGAACAGTTGAATAACTAAGCTGCACGTTGTGAAAATTAAAATGATCATGCATCCCCGTACACTAAAAGGAACTGCCTTTGTATACAACATATATTTTTGGAAGAACATTTCGATACACTTCCGAATTACATCATAATTTCACTGAAATTTTTAAGTTCTCTAATGAATCTTCCTAGCAGTCTATTCTGAACCAAACTTCTAGTGTTTTTTCAAAGCAGAGTTTGGAATGTGTACAATCCCCACCCGGATTTCGGCAATAGTCAAATAGAGAATTAAATTTTGAGGGGGTTGTGGAGATTTGGAAATATTTCAAGTTGTTATTCATCGAAGACTGACATCAGTTGTTCCTCCAACTGAAATAGAGAATTATTTTATTTGCTTTTACTACCTAGAGAAAAATTTGTAGAATAAAAGATTCAAGTTCTAATTTGTCTTCACGTTCTGTTGAGGCATTAGCTTTCGTGAATCCATAGTTAACTTAGAAATACTGCATTTAGTATAAGCAAGTTTTTATCTATGGGAACAGTATGCTTATGCACCTTCGTGTTTTTGTCATTGAGTGATTACATGTTTGTAATGTTCATTGTTTATAGTGCCATTATGGCTTTCATTATTGTTAGCTGTTAATTGAATGTATTCTTTTCCCTTTTGTAAACTGGTATACTACTGTGGAGTGTGTCAACTTAAACCGATAAACTTCTGTGCGAGGTTCTACGTTGATTTTCTGTCCATCTGTCTGTCTCTTTTAAACTAGTAAATCTCTTATAGTAATCCACCTAGTGTTAAGCACCTAAGTACGTATTTTTAGCATACATATTAGGCTTTTATTACCTTCAGTAACTTCTTTGTGTATAACTTCTTTTGTACCCGACATCCTCATCTGAATGACTTATGAGCTGATCCACTAAACTTCTTTTCTGGGGCACTAGAATTGAGGTCAACTTTTGTGTGTACAAATATTAGCGAGTGGTTCATGTCAATAATATTCTTCAAATTCTACTATTTATTAAATTCATTAGTTTGTCAATATTCAATTCATTTTTTTTGTAGCAACCTAATTGGGTTATTTATACTACATCATGAATACTGAGGAGAGTAGATTAAATGCATACAAAGAAAAAACAAAAGTTGACGGTGAAGAGCTTGTACGTAATGTTTTCCCTAAACGTGTATTTGAAATGGAAGACATATTGGCTTCAGAAATGTTTTTTCTTGGTAAGTTATGTCATTTTTGTAGTCACTTATGGGATACTCTTATAAAATTCATCTTTAAACACAATAACTTAACTTGGTAATATTTGTCTTTTTATAAATAGTCATTCATAAACGTTCAGAGGTAATGCGCATAGTGTCCCAAGTCTTAGTTTCGTATTTGTTCACATTTACTAAAAATGTATCTTTTTCAACTTAAAGAAAGCATTCTACTTGTAATATCTGAGCTCTCATTATTTGGTTCCAAAGTAACAAATGTTATCTTTACGTCATTTAAGATCAGATTAGATTCTTAAAGGACATTAATTTGTTGGAAATGCTTAAATCTTGAAAATAAGGATCTAGAATATTTGATTTTACTTAATAAAATGATTCAAAGCAAAATCTACCGATGAAGTGAAATACGTTTCTATAAGTGCAGAGATCTTAAGAATAAGAACTAGTTGATGCATATTATACAACTAACATTGTGATGGTATCTCTTCAAGTCCATCCATATCTCAGTAGCACTAAAAAAAATAATTAGCGAAAAGAATAGAATCATAAAGCTGGGTCAACAATAGATGCAAGAAAATACACATTTTTTTTCCTTCGCAGTGGGGGATAATCAGATTTCTAACCAGGATAAATCGCCATACAACATTTAAAGCAACCGTTGAAGTTTAAACTCAGTCACTAATACACATGTGCGGAGTTATGTATCATTGGTTTACGGAGTTGACTTTCATTCATCAAGCCTTGTGCTTGAACACTACTCCAACTTCCATTTTTGACTCATGAGGTTATATCATTAGGTGTGACTGCGCTTACTTGATAAAGTTGCTGAGTACGTTTCGTTCGTTTCATGTCTAAACAAGCCCACTTTATAATCAGTTGAGGTTTCAAAATATAAAGTCATTGTTATTAGTTATTATTATTTATTTTTTACTATGGTTAAAGGTTGAGTCCGGTTACTTTTCGTTTATTATTTTTTCCTTTTCCTACTAATTATATAGATGGTGAACATGTCCACTCTGGTGTCGACATACCTTATCCCATTAATTCTCATAATCACTTGAATTCTGGCGCTATGGATTCTGGTTTAAACAATGACATTGACAAAGTAGTCAATGAAAAACCACACTTTCCTAGTAAAGGTTCTTTTGTGTATGCTTTTCCGAATGGTTACGTGTCATATAACAAACATATCAAGGCTATGATTGAGGTACGTTTTTATTTCTGTTGACTTGTATTTATATATGTACGCATATTTTGTTAGATATTTATCGTCTATTCAAGTATTTTATTCTACCCATAATGTCTAAATTGGTCAGATAATTTGAAAGTAAAGTAAATAAGTACAATCAGAATCTAAAAGTCTTGAAATCTGGAATATTATGAGTCTTCTTCTAAGAATATAACTTCTCATCAATGAAATTGGAAGATATACACAATATTTTTGGTCAGAAAAGCAGTAAATTTGCAAATAGATTAGTTGTAAACCAAGTAGTTGTGAAATAGCCCATCGTTGGTGATAACTTATTAAACATTAAGCTGCATTTAGTAGTAGTAGTAGTACTGAGTCCCCTGAATGTGAGTACTGTGTTCTGAAAACTCATATTTTCTTTTCTTCAGTTTTTGGTCAACAACTTGCACAGTTAACTGATCGAGAAGTCTTATGGCAATCTCTCTCACTTAAAGGCGCGCCGAGTAATTACATCACCTTATTGAAGGCTCTCTACTCAAACACTTGTGGGCGTGTTAGAGCCTATGGTGAGATGTCCAGGGAGCTGTACTTGTCTAGCGGTCTCCGTCAAGGCTGCCTACTCTCAACATTCTTATTCAATTTCATCATACATATTCTTATGGAGGTCTCTCTCTCGTCATCTGACTACATAGACGGCCTAATCACAGGAGAATTTTAGTTAAACCTAGAATGTGCAGATGACATAGTCCTGTTAGGTGAAGACGCTGACAAGATGCAGAGTGGGAATCTGAGAATGTTTGGGATGCGTTTCTCACCACCCAAATGCAAATTGTTGTTCCAGGATTGGTCTTCAACGGTGCCACGGCTAAAAATAGAGTGTAGGGATTAAGTGTGTCGACCACTTCACTTATCTGGGGAGTAGGATCAGCCTTATTGGTTCAGTGGCCGATGAAATCGCACGAATCCAAAAGGCTTGGTTGGCTTTTGCCAACTTACGCCACCTGTGGCGTGGCTGTGATATCTATTTGTCTATTAAGCGTGGCGTGTACTGCATAGCAGTTCACTCTGTTCTATTGCATGGCTGTGAAACATAGCCATTGAAGGTGGAAGACATGAGAAGGCTTCAGGTGTTTGTTCACCGTTGCCTTCGAAGTATAGATCGTATTCCGTGGTGTCACCACGTGAGTAATCCAGTAGTTAGGTGTAGAGTTTTAGGAAGAAGAAGTAAATAAGTTGACACGTTTATGAACCTTCATCGACTGAGATGATTGAGACACTTGTTACTCATGCCTAGTTCCCGTCTGCCTTGTCACACAATGTTGGCCGAAGTAGGTCAGGCTGGAAAAAGACTCAAGGTGGCCAGACTAAAACATGGCATCAGTGTATTAAGTTTTTGACTGTTGGTTTGAGTCGTGTGGGGTGGTGGAGACTAGCTGGTTGGGGTCCGTGGGACAAGAGGAACCAGTGGCTGGAGACTCTAGGGAATATGGCTCACAACCGATGTCAGTGGTGCAGATGTATGCAGACATTATCCTAATCGTAACGCTATACCGGATCTCACCATTTTGTCATTCTTCCTTTCTCTCTTTTCGTACTTTATATTTTTGTTTCGACTGCATTCTCTTATCTTCATCTTGCACCCCACTGCCTTTTTATTTGATGTACTCATATGGGTTGTGGCAACTCGGACCGTTATGCAGTAATGGTCTTATGTTGATTTGGATGGATTGCTAACTGGATCATTATCTTTTAAATAAAGCTGACGCAATCTGGTGTAAATCTTTAGTTTATTTGATTTCAACTTTGCTTGTTATGATGGCTTTTACCTTGCATTCTTGATCACTTAGTTTGATACTGTATCCCTTATGGCGAATCTTAAACTATCCATTTGCTATCACATTCATCCAGCCTTCATTTATTCTGTCTGAATGTACAGTGTATTGTATCCAGTTTGATGCCTAGCAGTGGAATGCAGAACACGTGTTTCGTCCCGTTTGGGACTTGTCAGCTGGATGTACCTGCACCCCAGTTTGTGGTTTTGTCCCCACTGAGACTGAGATCTATAACCCATCGCTTCAAACACCGAAGTGTTCGTTATCCACCAGACCACTGGGACACAATAACAGCAACGGGTAATTACAAGTATCAAAATAACAACAGATGACACCCGTTGCACACTTAGTGACTCTTTTAGCCCAGTGGCCTAGTGGATAACGCTGTGGCGTTTGAAGCGATGGTTATTGAGTTCAAGTCTCAGTGGGAACAACATCAATCACTAGGGCGCAGTTACATCCAGATAATGAGTTGTGAATAGGATGAAACGTGCTTCCTGGATCACACTGCTAGCCGCTAAATGAACTACAATGTTTTGATTGTATTGTTCTAAGCTTCATTAAGCATACGTTTTGCATGCGGATTTTACACGGAAAGAAGATAAAAGCAACTCTAAAGTTTCTTCACATATGTCAACTGGAGAGTCTTACAAATGCACCCGTTCTATACTATGCCTTACGTTATCGCTTCATCTTGACAAAAGCATTGTCAAAATTGAATGATTACTTGCCATTAATTTAATTCAGCACCTTTTTCTTTTGTTGATTTTAAATTGTAATGCTTCTGAGGAATACCGTTGTTCAAGTTGATACTTCATTGTGCTAGATCAGAAATAACCGTCAAGTACATCATCTACTTCAGCACAGTACAGAGATTTGTGACTTCCATAGGCATTTCATTGTGGAGTGGTTGTAGACAATAATTTGTTTACGAAAAGATTCCATAGTCATCATTTACACATCTCATATGTATATCACTGAAATAAACGTTGTTCAACTAGAAAGTTGTGTTTATTGAATGTTTTTCGAAGGAGTTATTCCCTGGCTTATATACTTGATTATTAATCACTTTGTAATCTAAACTCAGATAGAAATCATTATGTAAATGGATGATTGTGTAATGTGTTATCTCCACTGTTGTAGAAGTAGAATTTTCATCATCGCAAGTTCAGTCACCAATCGGTGATATAATTGTTATGCAGAATAAAACTGCTGTCCTACACCTGTTGATAAGGATTGAATTGCTTACTTACGACCTTGATGTGTTACCTTTGAAAGTCAGATTGTACTTAATTCTTCATAATCACATTTTGTATATGTGATTGTTTTGTTCAGTACTGTTCTGGTCCTTGATATTTCTGAATCATGTATTTATTAAGTAGGTTGACAGTTCTTTCTTTTAATTTTATTCGACTGAGCCATGTGATAGTCGCCAGTTGACCATAGTGAAACAATAGTACTAACTATTAAGTTAAATATCTCACCCGACCATGCAATTTGTTCGGCGTACGGTTAACTCAACGTCATCATTGCAATAGTCTCAGACAAACGGTTTATTTTACCAAACGGTTGCACATCTGTAGGTGAATGTGTCTAGCATTACCATATCACTTAAAATAGGCACGATAAGATACCAGTTTGTTACCAATGCTAAGACGTTGCATTTCTCTCTCTCTCTCTCTCTCTCTCTCTCTCTCTCTCTCTATATATATATATATATATATATATATATATATATATATATATATATATATGATTGACATACTGAGGTATGAGGTATTCATATTTTCTGGAGTTCCTTTGTTAACCTACTTTTTGTCACTTGTTAACTTTTTCACAGAGAACCAAACCATGCTTGACTCAGCTGATGATTGAGGCCCAACTTGTGCGTTTATGGGTTCAATTTAATATACCACGAATTGAAGATGGTAATAATTTTGGTGTAGGAATTCAAGAAGAGATTTTGGGTGAAGCGTCAAGCATTGAAAGAGATGCATGTACCTTCTTGGATCAAGTAACAAGGTTTGTTTGTTTTTGTAACTGTTATTTATATAAACTACAAGATACATTCTGAATGTTTTATTAACCTAGGATCCGTTTTCGCATATCACAGCATGAAACTAAGAAAATTTGAGTACACTTTGTTATTAGCCAGTTTATTGTTATCAGCATCTTGTGTGTGTGGCAAAGATTACTTGTTAAGTTTTTTTGCAAATTTGAATGAGGTACTCAGGATTTTTTTCCCCTCATATTCCATTTTTACTTTTTTACAAGCTGACAGTTTGGAAATGTTCTTTTCATATGATGAGTGTCCACTGCACCCAGAGCTTTTATCCATGACAAACTACAGTTTTTGTCACGTATTTATATATCAAAGTGGATAAAGTTCATTTTAGAGTAACTTTAAAGACCAGCCTAGCAACAGATGAAACAGCCAATCACGTTTCTCTATTCTATGAGAATTGTCTTGCCAGACAAAATATCGCAACCTGATTGGTTATTGTGTCAGTTGTTAGAGTGGCCTTTAAAGTCACCCTCATTTTAAACAGGAAAATTATGTACAGAATGTAAAGAGACAGTGGTTAACTTTGTAATCAGAACAATTGATTGACCAAAATTTTCAAACCCAATCTACGCACTGAATAACGAAAGTGTCACATACTTATGATGCTATCAGCCGTTAAGAGCCATCCACGCGACCTACATTCATTGGTGTTTCTCACTAACATAAAAGTCCACATTTTCAGTTTCATATCCCCACTTCGACTACTTTGGTCAGGCTAACCGGATAGTAACAAAACCTCTCAAACAAGTCGAATTTAGTCTAGTGCAAGGTGCACCGGTTTGAGTTATATCAGCCAACTCAGTAACCACCCAGACTTATTTTTATTTCTATACTGAATGAATTCATCGAGATACATTATTGTGTAGATATTGAATTCCCACGGTAGAATAGTAAACGCCAAACATCCGGGCAGATAGCCGCTACCTCTACGTAGTAGTAGGACTTATATGTCACAATGACCCAACGAGTTACGCTGACCGGACGATTGTTCCCTCGATGTCTTGTCAAGCCAGAAAGGTCTGTTGGATAGTAGTTAAGCGAAAAGCAGTTACCGTTGTAGTGTAAATCTCTACACTCAGAGGGGGGGTTTGTGTGCAAAGCCGTACTCTTTGCTGGATGGGGTGTGACAGTAATAGTGTTTCCCTTGGATGGTAAGCAGTGCCACGCTGGTGCTGCCTTCTCTATGGGAAGGAGGGGTTAGAAAAAGTTAGCTGCTAAACAGAACACTCCTCCCTGCCCCACGGTTTTTCGGTGCCTGTGGTATGGGTTAACTCTGTCCGGCGTTTGAACACCCAAATGTGAAAACACCAATCCGGTTTGTTTAACAGGTCTCAAGCGGATGTCCGATACCCACTGCGGTCACACAAACCTTTTTCTCTTCCAGGTACCCTAGGAAGAAACAATTTCCCATTGTGTGCGGAGTCGGGAAATGTCAGCCGTCCTCACAACTCTGTAAACACTCAGACTCACTCAACTCACTGTCCACCTCCCACACCCATCTCTTCTAATCTTCCTTCACGTCTCTCAGTCAAATGTCCTACATCATCTTTAATTTCTCCCAGATCTGCAGCTCTCGACAACAATCTGAGTTCACAAAACAGCACCTCAAGTCTCCTGAAACCAAGATACAAATTACACATTGGAAATCTTAATGTCCCCACCCTCTGTCAGGTCGACCAACAAGTTTACTAGCCGAAACTCTAGCAACTCAGACCGTGGATGTGTGCCGGGCATATGAGGCACATATACAAGACCCAATTGTGATTATTCGCTTAATCTCACCTGGCCAATAACGTGGACCTGCAAAATTCACCCTTCGGGTTTCTGGAGGTTCAGTGACCAGTTCCCGTAGTTTTGCGGGTGTAGGTATAGCATTGATCACTATGGGAAAAAGTTCTCTACTCAACCGAATCACAGTGGACAGTCGTGTATACCCTGTCCATTTGAAAGGCAAAGTGAGGATAAAAAGGAGTAGTGAAATTCGCTGTTGTCTCTTTATAATCTTTTCTTACCCACTTACTGACTGCAGTTTGAACGAAGTGAAGTATTGATTCTATCGAAAACTCCCCAGCCTCCTGCTGAAGACCAAAATTTCATACACGATTTTCGTAGCTGGTGATTTCAATGCACAAGTGGGTAGGCTAAGTCAGGCAGAAGGACACTTAGGTGGCACTTTCAGGCTTCCGACCGAACGAACATAATGGCGATTGCTCGATACCAACCGCGCTCAGATAACCGTTTATCTCTAGACAGCAAAAGTTTCTGACATAAAAGGAGCGCCTGTCTGACATGGAGTCCACTGAGCTCAACTCAGAGGTGGACAGACAAATTAACCACATTGCTATCAGTCATTTCTGGAGAGGATCGGTGGAAGGCTGCCGCTCCTTCTGGAGGGACGTGTTTAAACAGTGACCACGCGTTGGTTCGACCGTGTGTATATCTGAGTTTCAATAGACGCAGGTAAACTTTAGCAACAAGACTACTGCGAGTGCTACTTGACAATGAGAGCACGAGGGTCACTTTCAAGGCGAAAATACATAGAGAGTTATCGGAAAAGAACAATATCACTCATCCAAGAGAAGCTTGGCGCCATCTCTAGTCTGTTGTAAAAATAACGTTGAAGACTGTAGCCAACTGTCTAAGAGCGATTAAAAAGAGCCGATAGATATCAACAGCTTATTTTATGGATGCATGCGAATGCATTCTTGCAGTCTCCGAGTACATTGAGGAGTGAATACAACTTAAAAATAGTACACAATGACCGCGAAGAGTGATGATCAGCGAATGCTAAAAAGATGGAAAAGGTAGTGGCGACGTTGGCTGACAGTAGAAAACTATTTATACTTATCAAGGGAACTAAAGCGAAGTGATCAGTGGTTATTGAAACCATGCTAGTAACACAGAAGTCAGATGTATTATAGTTCTACGGAGGAGAGGAAACTCACTTGATTCAGCTGTTAACTTTCATCAACTTAAATGGCTGGGACTGTCTGGTTTGTCGCGCAATTCTAGCTGAAGTATGTTCAGGTTGAATAAAGGTGAAATACGGCCAGACTAAAACATGGTATCAATGCATGAAGTCTTTGACTGTTGGTTTGAGCCATGTTTGGAGATGCAGACTGGCCGGTTGGTGTCTACGTGACAGCGGAAAACCAGTGGTTGGAAACTTTAGGTGATATGGCTCAGAATCGATATCGGTGGGGCAGATGTATCCACACTATCTTCATGTTGACCGTCATACTGAATTCAGCAGTTTCTCATTCCCCCCCTTTCCCTCTGTATTACTGCATTCTATTGCTTTTGACTGATTTTGCCTTCTTTCTTCATCTTTGACCTTATTACTTAATAGTATGTTGTATTGATATGAGGTATGGCGACTTGGACAGTTACGCAGTAATGCCTGATCCTATGGTGATATTGATTGGTTAATTAGTTGATTGAAGCACCAATCATTGTATACAATCGTGATAAATTCAAAATCATGAGTTTCTATATAGCGCAGAGGCCGATCAATTCGACTCAGTGTAACAACGGGGAATTACATATATCCAGTAAATTGTAGTTTTGTTTAGTGTAATCATCCCAGTAACCCATAATTTTTTTTCAAGAAATATGATTGAAAAATTAACAAAAAATAATTCTTTTCGACAAAGCATTTTCAAAAGCTATACGTCTTAGTCATACATACAACAGAATATATATCCACCAATAACTAATGGGTCAATACGAAGTCGTCAAAAACGGTCAGCAAAGTCTCAAAGTTATGACCGCTAGAAGGTCAACTCAAGTTTATCAAGAATCGCTTATGTGTTTACAGTAAATATACAAAGAAATGAATAAACTGTCTTAGAGAGCTTGTGACTTAGGCTAAATTAGAGGTTGAATGTATCTCAAAGATCAAGCTTGAGTGACTGGATTGCCAAAGCCTCTGCTGTGTTGAGGTGACGAGCACGCACACCCTTCGAAGTATTAGATTTCACTTTGTAAGTGACTTTCAAAGAAGATCCCCATGAAGCAAAGTGACCAGAGTTAACCAAATGGTCAAGAATCTAGCTGTTAATGGCTTTACGCTTCTTCAGGCAAACATGCCAAATAGTGTTCGGAGGTGCGTTTAAATAGAACACGCTTTTGTGGTCCTGTGTAACCAGCTGCACAAGAGCAAATAATCTAACACACATGAAGGTGACCCGAAGCGGTAGTTCATCCTTTACGCACTCTCGAATCACTTGTTGCCTGAAGAAAAAAATCTAAACGAATAATATCAGAGTGTCACTTTAAGCTACCATACTGAGAATTATTACAGGAAACGAATGGAATATTCAAATAAAGTAAGAAAACAGAATAAGCTGGAGGTATGAGATGAGAACTTCTGGATATTTTGTATAATTGTTCTAGTGTAATCGACTCGAAAATTACTTTGATACGTCGATTATTAGAAGGGTCTGTGAAGGGAACATATGCAAAGCATACTATAGTCTTACAATCATTCTATACTAATTCACTCCTTTGATTCAGTTTATGCGTTTCTATCCAACTTTATTAAATAATAGGCGGGAGGATCAACAAATTCAATGTCGTTAATTTGTATAATTTTCTGTACACTGTGACAAACGCTGTATTCGTATCACTATATTTAATAGATAACTTTCACTCTCTTCTTAAGATTACGTTTAAGTGCATAAGAAACTACCTGAGTTCAAATAATAATGGGAATAATGTAGTTCAGGTACTTTTCGTAACTACTTCATAATTTTTCCTTGTCTATATGACATAGCCTATAAAACTGATTATTTACTCATTTTCCTATTCGATTTTTTTTTCTCCACCATATATTCAAAGGTACTATGCCTCAAGAGGAAAATTAGTGGGTAAAGTTGCCAAATATCCTCATATCGAAGACTATCGAGAGTGTATTCGAGATATGGATGAGAAACAGGCAATAACAATGCGATATATCATAATGGAAATTCGTAATCATTATGTAAGAACAGTTTTTTACTTTTATCATTGCTCACGGTTTGTGTAGAGTGTTTTAGTGTATGTATATTGAAGACAACGTAGTATTGGAATTTGGTAGTGTATCAACTACAGATATCACCTAATAAGTGGTTGGCAGAAATTGGATATAATATGATGTCATAACAAAAATCTAATGTATTATGTAAGGCGTTGACTATGAATTGTGATGAGTTTTTATCGCATCGTAATGCTTATAATTGAAGCGTAACATTCAAGCGAATAACTCTTAAATCGTACAAAGTATTTTGATTTCAGTTTGTTATTAGAAGCTTTGTAGAAGTCACTAATAGGGCATATCTGCAACCTTGAGAAAACTCGTCTGATTGTATAACTTATACTGATGTCACTTGATTCAGCAGCTACCAGGGTGCTATTCAAGCTTTTTCTGTATGAAAAAAAGTGATAGAACTGTCTTATTTCTATTCACGTTTATCTACGTTTATAAAACCTAAAGGGTTGACTTACATCCAGAAAAATTTTTTTCGATATAACTCCAAATTAAAACCAACAATTTTGAAATTCATACTGGGTGATGATTGAAGGTGAGATGAAAATCTGGACCGCGACTGGATTCGAGCCAGCGACCACCGGGTTACCGACCCGGTTCTCTACCAACTGAGCTACGAGGTTCGACTGCTGACTAGAATTTTATTTCACTTCATATGGTAGTCGGGGAAAACCCTTGGTGATTGAAGTGAAATAAAATTCTGGTCAGCAGTCGGACCTCGTAGTTCAGTTGGTAGAGCACCGGGCCGGTAACCCAGTGGTCGCTGGTTCGAGTCCGGCCACGGTCCAAATTTTCATCTCACCTTCAATCATCACCCAGTACAAATATTAGTCTGCCAAACTATAGCTATTTTAGATAGTCAAATCATAATTTTGAAATTGAATTATCATAAACAGTTGGTGTAAGATTGTTATTTTGGACTTTTCTGTATGTATAAAATTTCTTCCTCTTAGTGAATTCACAACTGTATTTGGCACTTTGCGTAAATTTCTAATATTCCATCTCAGTTTCATCAGGATAGTTAATTGACTGGACTCTCTTTATGCTCAGATAATAAGCAATGTTATCTAATTAGTTAAAATTTGATCTATCTATCACATTTTGTTAGACAGGTTAAATGGATTAATAGTGTTCGACAATTATCAATTTCAACTGATTCAACGTTGTATTTCATTTTATTTTACGGATTAGAAGAAGCGATAAGTGTAAATTAGTAAAATTGTATTTGGGATTTAAAAGTCATAAATGGGAAAAAGTTAAAAATCCTTTCATTTGAACAGTACTACTACCACTGTGTGCAAAATAATCTATCATGAATGAGGCGAAAACCCATTTGATTTATTACCATAAAGATGGTGTATGATTTAAACAAACTATACAAGAGGTTATTATTGTTAATAAATGCGGCATACTGTTTTTTTTTTTACATATCCGAACCAAATTATATATACGTAAATTTTGAGCTAAAATCCATGGAACTACAATTTTTGCGCTTTTGCTTTCAGGCCACTTTACATGACATAATTATCAAGAATCTGGATCGCATCAAAATGCCCCGTTCTAACAATGCAATCAATATGTACTGATTCAAACGCATACTTGAATTCTGTGCTTATTCACACAATAAGATTTTGATTGTATGTAAATACATACGTTTAAAACTCTATATATGGCTGAAACGGTTTTTTTTTTCAGTCTAAATTTTCGTTTTGTTGGCGATTGAGCACTTTGGTACAGGGAAAGTTCTATATTACACTACTTTATCTAACATAACACATAGTCATACAATCATATCAAGTCGATTTGACTTACAAAGTAGCATTACGCTGCATACGCAGAAATAGGTTTACCTTACATTCTGTAAAATGTTTGCCCTTTTTTGTAATCATTGAAGTACTTCAGATTTTCCATCTATGTTTCTGTCTAATCTAGAAAATATTCACACCTTACAGCAATCAAACTAAAGTATAGATGTGGTTCATTGCGTCAAAAAAAAACTCGTATTTCAAACAACAGGCTATGAGTTCACATTCGGCTCTGCTTTCTTCAGCCAGGACAATTGGCTGGCAACTTAACCCCCCTCATAGCCTAGTATATGAACCTGTACTGGTCTGAGCCAAATTATTTCTCACTAAATTTTTTTATGACAGCAAATGTTTAAGTAAAAAAATATGTCTTCGATCTCATCATTTTACAGCTTCATAAACTCTTTTAATTGGTGTTCTTCTCATCACTATTTACTGTTTAATTTCTGTGAAGTCATTTCTGTGACAAAGATATCTTTTATAAGTGACCAGACGAAAGTACTTCACCTTTACGAAAGTTTAAATCTATGCTGGAGGCAAATCTTTCGTCGAGACATTACAACCCTGAAATGTCTATTGTGTTAGTCATGAATGCTTGAGCAGCGAAGAAAAAATGAATGTACCTACATCCTGAATATTAAGCGAATCCCTGAGTTAATTTATGGCCATAAATGTGAACTCTTGACAAACTCAAATCAAAATTTGAGATAGCTCATTGAGCAAATGAAATACAACAATGGTTGCCAATATTAGCAAGCATCTCCCACTACCACCACTAGCTCCATTTTCTCATGAATGTTGATTGTATAGGACTAGTCATTAAAGCTTTGTGTTTGCATTGGTCGATGTCTTAAATGGTAACATGTGTAGACCCATTAAAATGACGCACACGTTTCAAGCACTTCATTGACCTTCCAGAAATGAGTGATTCAAGTGAAGAGTCCTGTAGCGAATTCAAAATTTCTCCGTCTATCATGTAACAGTCATTTTCTGTTCTCTGGCATACCAACCTCAATCCAATTGTCAGTTAACAATTTTTGGGCTCATTTAAAACAGCATCCTTTGAGGAATGCCAACTAGCAATGTTTACAATTCCCCATGTTTACCAAACAACTTCCTGCCGAATCGACAGTGTTTTGCTGGAGGTTAATCGGAGTATAAAGTAAGAACAATCTATAATTCTAGCAGTGTCACTGGGAATGTTATCAATGAAGGCTGGAGATTTGTTTAAAGTAGTGCACTAATATTTGCTTGTGACATCAAACCAGATAGTGATATGTAGGCTTAAGGTCCGACCATCGGTAATGTATGATGCAGTGGTTGAAAAGAAAGGCAGATAGGATATCAGGGTCGATTGCACTAACGTCTAACTTCATTAGCTGAGGAGACATAAAGAAATTTTCCTCTCTGCATCCTTCCCCATAGTGAGATACCACTTGTGAATAGTACCAGTGATAAGGTTTAACTACCTTTGCAGAATATCAACAAAAATATTCTCCCACTAAACATGGATCTACCTCTTCGCAGATGGTCTGACCGAATTTGACAACGAAGGGAATATTAGTAACTTCCTTTTTAAGGCGTTGGCACTGTGCGACCACCTATCTAAAATGTCTCCTTTCTTACATTATTGTAATATTATCATGTAGAATTTTGATATTTATCGCTCCTTATGTATTTCATGCACGAGCGACTCTAAAGGTCATCCTGACTGCAACTGAAATAACCAGTTGGGTTGCTTTATTTAGGCTCTGAAATTAGATTTTTCATAAGGTGAAGGGATACAATCGGTTATTTTACAGCTGCTAGGGTGGCCTTTGAAGTGAGTCTTCATGCACTGGCTATTTTTATTGATCTATCTCTCATTTGGCTTCTTTTACACCTTTGATATACTGTTTCGTTTGTCCCGGCGGAATTATAACCGAATATCAATGACTATGCTATAAAAAACTTGTGCTCTCTTCTTTCAGTAAATTTCTTTAATCCACGCACTAAGTTCTTGGAGACTGCCAGGAGGATTAGTGGATTAAGTTGTCATTCGCATAAGCAAACTTGGCATCGAGAGTATACTTTTTATTTTAAATCCCTCGGTGACAACTCTTGTTGCTTTGTTCTCAATTGTGTATTGCCAGTTGTTGTTCTCAAAAGTATAGGTGCGAATTTCGTCCAGTTGATTATCGAAGTAGTCTGTATCTACGTGAAAATATCGTGAAGCTTGTGGATAAGTTGTTGTGAAACAGTGTTTAGTTAAGATTAACGACATCAATCTATGTTATGTATTCCGAGCGGATATAATATGCATGCCTAACTGACAGCTAACTTTGCACACACGACCCACTGACTCCAACCTGGGACGAATAAGGAAGAAGACTAAATTGAATGGGAGAACTTATTCCTCCAAGAATAATAATCAATTATCCTAAGCACACGTGTGTATGTATACACATGATATATGATTTTGTCCAGAAACTGAGACACTAACATGGTAAAAATAAACACTAACCACCCAGCTCATTACCTTGAAAATTGGGGCGAAAAATGAACTACTGGTCATGTGGCAACAAATGGCATGAAACCGATGATTTAAAAAATGTTTAGATTAATAAACAATGTTTTATACAAAACTAGGGCTTCCAAACACCTTTTTAAAGAAAACATTAATACCCTAGCTTTTTCGGGTCTAGTTGGAAAGGTAACGTCTGACACCGTTTCCGATCTGTCCATCTTCTGGGTCAAAACACCTTGTTGATATCAGTTTCGGGGTCGTACGTAATTTAAACCTATCCAGTAAAATATCGAGTGGTATAGTCGGCTTCTCTAGTTGGTTCGCCTTTCGTGACGTATCTGATTCTTGTGTCTCTCCCATTTCTCCTGACCCACCTTTATATTGTACATCACACTCCCACGTCTTCCCATGATAACACCTCCCATCCAAATGCCATATCCTGGTCTATAATCTCATACGTAAACACGGTCTCCTTTGTTGAAATGTGATCCAACTGTTTGCGTTGTTTGTGCACGACATGACGGTAATATTGCATGGTGTAAGATACGTAGCTTCCTTCCCATTTAAAACTCCACCGAAGATTTGCGATCTGGTAGGTTAGTCTTTAGACCGTCATATAAGAGCCATCAGGATCGTATACTTCATCGAATTCTTAGCTTTGCGCAAGTTTTCACCCCCTTTGTATTCCTTCTTTGGTAATCTTTATCCCATTTTGATGACAAAGGAGTTGTGAAAATGTATTATTCCTCTTTATTACCATTATATTTCCCAAATCCTTACTATCTTAATTTATTTAACTTAACCCACCGTTTTTTCACATGAAATGCCTTGACAAGTAAATATGTAGTCAGATTGTTCAAAATTTATTGGGCAAATACATCACATTTCTAAGATAACCGTCGTCTTCTGATTACATTGTGTTAGTTCATCTAACAGATTAATTGTTTCAAACTATTGAAGACTTGCCAGCATTGGATAGCTGTTTTGACTTCTCTAGGAGTGCGCATCCACAAATTTTTGAAAGACCACGCCCACATCCTTTGAGTAGCATCTTAGCATTCAACCACCGGGTTGTAATTCAACGATCCACATTTTCTCACTTCCATCTATCCACTATATAGTGTAACTATCATTTAAAGAGTATACTTTTCGACAAGTTCTACCGCTACATATTGTTTAATCAAAAGTTAAATTTTTACGCCAACAGTAGTGGAATTTTTTCATAGTAGTCAATAGTTTATTTTTAGTTGTCCAGGGACTCTCTTCTGAGAAGACAGATGAAAGGTAATATCAGAATCAAATATTAGTATTATTGCCGCTAACAATACTTTCAATTTCTGATAACTTCCAACTCAAGTTCTGCAGTTGTTTGTCCAGTCTTTTGATCAAAGAATAAAGACATGTTAACAGCTGCAAGATATTTTTATCACAACAGTCAGTCATCAACAAAAATAATAGCGGAATGTGGGGGGTTTGTGGAGATCTAGACATTTTTTTCCGGTTGGTATTCATCATGAAATGACTTCATTTGGAGCAGCATTGGAAACCTGGGGGCACTAGACAGTTGTTTCGTCCTAGTATGGGGCTCTTCAGTAGTGTGGACCCACGACCTCACCAGGGGTCGGACCCGCGATCTTCGGTTTCCGTGGCCAGCACGTTACCATTGGGTCGGAACCCAATGGTCCATGTTTCCAACTTGGATTCTGATCCAATGGCAACGTGCTGGCACGGGTTCGACTCTCGGCGGGGTTGTGGGTGCCCATTGCTAGGATGAAACAGCTTTCCAGTGTTCCTCCAAATGATGTCGTTTCATGATGAATACCAGCGAGAAAAGTAATAATAGTCCCATAATTGTCATCAGAAAGGACTTGTGTCGATAGTCATGTCAAAATCAGCTTAAAATTATTATTCATGCAGATGATGATGTCTGATAGGATACCTACCGGATGGTTAGTTGGACTTTAGATTTCATGCGAATGAATAAGTGAGGGAAGTAAAAAGAGGAAAGTTTTGTTGGTATGTGTCGAATGCAGAACCGGATGGAGATAATCCAGTAAAAATACTGGGTCAAACTATGCTAAAGTATGGGGTGAAAACTGAAAGAATTCACTAAAACTTAAGATTACATTGGATGTGGGCACATTTACGAACGGTTTAGAAGTTTACGGCTGATATAGTAGGTTGGTCAAGGTGCTAGTAATGACTGCCCTTTTTTGTTTGTTCGCATAACCCAGGCTTTTCAAGCTGAATGGTTGTAGTTCCAGCTGTTTGGAGC